AAAATGGAAACAATTATTAATAATACGTGAGACTAGAAATGGTCCACAATTGACGCCAATATACACACGAATCAATTTGTGTGATAAAAATATATTCATTTATGGCATTGATTTATTTAACTCTCTGCCACTCTCTGTCAGATCTACTTATTATGTAAAAAATTTTATAACGATTTGTGAAAATTATTTAATGCAAATATATATGTCAAACTGATTGTCAATACTAACAAATTTTGTATTAATCAACGAAGTTATGATTAAAATAAAAAAAAATTATTATTATTATTATTATAAATATATTAGTGAACACAACGTTATTTCCTATCAAATTAACATGTTTAATAAATTTTGGCAAATTTATTATATTTTGTTAGTTTTTATGCTTACAATTTTTAATTTAATGGTATTAACTATGATTTTATATACGGACTTAGAATTATTACATTATATGCTTTATATATTTAACTTTATTGCATCATGGGTATTTATATTTTGCATATCTTATTTTGCTTCTAAGATATCAAAATCAGTGCATTTATCACATAATAGTGTGATTTCAATGCAATTCTCGATTAGATATAAAATTGATGTTAAGTTAAAACTAATGGCATTTACAGAGAAATTACTGTCAAAACGACTCATAACCGGCTTTTCTGTCGGAACTCTATTTGTGATGACTTTTCCGAAACTATTATTTGTATGTATTTTACAATTCATTACAAATTATTAATAATTATTATATTTTATATTTAATTATAGTTAACTGTAAGGTATTGTCGATATTTCATATTAACCTCAAAATTAGAAAAACGCTTACATTAAGTACTGTTATTTTATAGTTAATTGTTGCTTTTATATTGTAATAGTACTGTATGAACATTAAATTTCTATTGATAGTTTTCCCAATTCATTTCTTTGCGTTATGAAATAAAACATTTATCTTAAATAGAGCAATTAATTTTATTTAAAACTAACACTACTTTTTATTCTCAATAACTCGTGTATTAAAACCAACCTGTTAGTTTCAAAGTTTAAAATCCATACCTTGTGCTAAACTCGTTCTGAAAGTAAACCTAATAAATTTATCTAGGTTCTAGAATCTAGATCACTGTACAATCACATGCTATTTTGTCATCGGCACAGTTGTTGCAAAATCATCTATGCAGGTCATGTGATTATCATCCCAATGTACCATAATTTACATTTAGTTAAAGATGCCAATTTTGTATCATAGTCAACTTACTATATACAATTTTTTGCACACTTTAAAACTAACCATAATACTTAATTCCAAGCGTGTCATAACTAATAATAATACCATATTACATTATTCTCGTGGGATTATAATTACAACAACACATCAGTTGATTATTACAAACAACACGAATAATAGTAACTTTTTTAAACACAAAGTATAAATAGTGTTAAATTAAAATAAAATATCACTCACTCTCAGACATAAACAGTCTAGATTCATATTAGAAAACAGTCTAGTTAGTTTGCACACACACACAACCAGATTAAGCACGATGTTTAGCGTATGTATAGCACCGGTACTGTTGGCCATCGTGGGTATGTGTGCGGCGGCCGACACACCCGTACAGCTAGACGTTTACTACGAGAGTCTGTGTCCCGACTGTATGCAGTTTATTAAGACTCAATTGGTGCCCAACTATAAAAAACTTGCATCAATCATGAATGTGAACATGGTGCCGTACGGCTGGGCCAAATCGACCAAGGTAGCCAAGCCAGATGGCACGTTTGACCTAACATTCACCTGTCAACACGGGCCACAGGAGTGCATTGGCAATGAGATACACGTATGTAGACTAGCATGATCAAATTGCTATTTTTGAATTCACTAATTAATGTGCTATGATTAATTTATTTGCATGCTACCTATGCACAATAAAAATATCTAGAACTGTGTTCTAGAGAGCGAGACCATTGCCCGATCGCTGGAACTGTTTGGCTGTATGTATGCGTCCAAAGACTACACCAAACCGGCCACCGCTGCCAAAGAAGTAGTGTATACCACATGTTTAGTTTTATCACGTTTATAAAAATGTATGTATGACCCCGATGATAGTGTACATCGAAGTTGGGCTTCAACTACACGGCTATCGACGAGTGCGCGTCCGGACCGTTGGGTCGGGGACTACACCTCAGGAGTGGTGAGCGCTTCCAGGCGTTGACTAACCCTAAACCCAATTTTGTGGTATGGGTTGTAGTGAATGGTGTGCACACTCAGGCCATTGCCACCCGGGCTGAGTCTGATCTAGTCGGTCTTATTTGCGATACCTATAAGGTTTGTATTTGTTTTTGTTACCTTGATTTATTTCTTACCAAGGTTGTTTATTTATGCTTTAAATTATTTATTTATTTATTTAGGGTACTAAACCGGATGTATGCAAAAAGGTCGAATAAAATCTATATAAATATGCTAAATATTTTATGTTTTAAGCATTTATTAGAAGTTTCATTTAATAAATACTATAATATTTAGAAATTGTTTATTTTATTTTATTACATTTGATAAGTTGGTAAGTAAATTTATTTTCTCATTACAACTTGGTGTTGTAATTTTTGTACAACGAAGGTTGTTTTAATGTAGATACAAAATAGCCTTAATAGTAATTTTCCAAGATTATGATTAGATGTACTTGTACAAAAACAATTCAGAGAAATTGTGCTTAATCTATTTATTAATAACAAACTATTAATTGATTTTGAAATTATATTTTTAACCTCTTTACTTTATAATTACAGATTACTAATTACAGTAAATTAATATTGTACAATTGTACTAAAATATAAAATGTTATGCTAGTTTAAATTAATTTACAGTTTTTGTTATTATAATTTAAGTTAATTAGATAATGTTTTATACCTTTATCATTTGTGTACGGACTTATAACAAGCTGTTGTAAGAACTTATTACATATAATGTACTACAATATAATGTACTTTTAAGGATAATTGCACAAGGCATCATTTTTCATATCCAAAGTTCTAACATCGGTATAAGCCAATTAAACTTAAATTTATAAGTAAGTGTACAATATTTCACTCTTACAATCGTTAGATGAAATAAAATTTTAATTAATTTTAATTAGTTAATATGTACGGGCAAAGGTTATTTAGCTGTTAGCATTAAATGGTGATTAATAAAATAAATACATCAAGCACCACTTAATTCAAGTGGTACTTTAAAATAGTACACAGCATTGTAATCCAGATATTTAGCCGCACGCTTAGACTTTACTTATCATGATCAAAAGTAATCATTATTTTTATAAGTATTAATAATTAAAGCAATATAAAAGGTCTCAAATTAATTATTATAAATCATTAGGCTTAAATTAAATATTAAATACACACTTAATGAAACAAAAAAAACTAACTAACCATGTTTACAACCAACTTATTTTTTACCTTAATGTTAACCATCGCTGGCATTAACGCCGCGCCTAAAGTCACTATTGATGTTAACTTTGAATACTTTTGCATTGATTGCAAAGTGTTTATTGGCGACCAATTATACCCGACTTATAAAACTCTGGGTGATATATTCGAGTTCAAATTGAACACGTTCAGTTACGGCCGGTTTAACAAAACCACCAAGCCCGAAGGCACGTTTGATCTAGAGTTTCAAAATGCCACTCAGGTGGCTGGAACTTTAATTCAGGTACGAGTTATATTGATAATTTAAACATCTAGTTATTTAATTTGTAAATTTAGCTTAGGAATTAGTTTATTTAATTTTTGTAAATATAAATTATGTTTTGTATTGTATTAAAATGTAATTTTTATCAGTCTTGTGCTATGGAGATAATGCCCCAGGATCAGTCGCTGGCTTTTTTAGCATGCATGTTTAAATCCGCTCAATACGATAACGCCGATGTGGCCGGAAAACAGGTTGGTAATTTGAGAAATTAATTTATTAACTCTGCTAGGTGCATTATTAATTTTATTACCCACTTTCAAATAGTGTGCAAACGAGTTAAACCTTAAATGGGAGGCCATAGAGGAGTGCGCAAAGGGGCCGTTGGGTAGGGGTCTGTATTTGCGTGGCCTCGAGCACATGGAAGCCGTTAAACCGAAAATCACCTGGTTCCCTTGGATTATTGTCAATGGCCAAAATGGGAGGCCATAGAGGAGTGCGCAAAGGGGCCGTTGGGTAGGGGTCTGTATTTGCGTGGCCTCGAGCACATGGAAGCCGTTAAACCGAAAATCACCTGGTTCCCTTGGATTATTGTCAATGGCCAACACACTGACCTAGAGCAACAGACCGCCGAAAAACATTTGGCCAAGTACATTTGCGATACATACACGGTTAGTTTTGTTTTTATTGCTTATTTGACGTGTTTATCGTGTTTAGTATTTTGTATATTTTGTTAATTATGATTATTTTGTAATTATTTTTAGGGGCCAAAACCCGATGCGTGTAAAAATGCTAATTAATATGCAAGATTGATTGATGGGTTATCTTATTATACAGTTATTATCAACCAAAATTAATATTAAATTATAAATATTAATTCTGCATAAATTAATGAATTGTTACGTGTATATTATTGGGGTGTTCATTAAGTGATCATAGTGTAAAATTACTTTTGGTTAGAATGTCTCGCAAATTTTTTTGGTTAATGCCATCATATTGATTTAAACACTATTTTATGCAGTCACTATTCCTCTTTAATTTTATGTAAAAAAAGTTCCAAAATTATTTTAAGAAGTGGTGATTTCACCCGAAAGTAATGGTGC